CTGCTGACTTAATCAAATAGTCTGCTGATGCTTCTAATCGTGTGTTAGGTAACACTGCCCTCAGAGGGCCAAGGTGAGTAAATTCAATCTCAAAACCACTGGCATTACTTCTGATATTTTACTTGACCTGACATGGATTACAGTTGTTTCTTTTAAAGAAAAATGGCTTGTTTTTAAGTTGTTTTATTTACTTTTATGTAATTTTTTTTTAACGTGCTTAAATAAATTCATTCCTCCCCACCTCTCCTTGGTATTAAATATTAGTGTAGGGGAACTGGAGTTTTGATTTTACAAAATGTGCCATAAAAAAAAAGAAAGAAAAGAAAAAAGGGCAAACAATATTATTTCTACTAATCCATTTCAGTAAATTGATGACACAGACACGAGGCATTTTTTTTCCCCCTTTTTCTTTCTTTCTTTCTTTTTTTTTTTGTTTTTTGTTTCTTTTTTTTGTTTTTTTTTCCCCTTCTCCTTCTTCCCTTAAATCTCACTTATGTCTGTGTGGCAGCTGTTGCTTCTTTTAAGGAAGCAAGTTTTTGAACTCAGGTTTCTGTTGCTTATCAGCACTGTATATTAAAGACATTTCCTTCACACCTCTAAAGCCATTTACATATTGAAAAATGTAGATGTTTTGCAGAAGTGACTTTGAAAAAAACCCAACTTTTTTCAAATAATAAGATTAATTTTAAATTACTGAATAATTTTTCAAGTATTGCTAAATCTCCATATGCTTAGGATGAGAAGTGGTGAGACTAACAATAGCAACCATTGAATCTGAGGTGTATGTTTGAAGAGAGAGTTTGAGTTCTGAGATGAAGTACAAAAAATTATGAACTCTGAGTGGTACATTTGACTAACACAGATTTGTTGACTGCTCATATGGTTTCTTAGAAAGCTCTTCTTTGTGAAGCTCCTCAGCAGTATCAAAACTACAAGCATTGCATCACTAGAGCAAACATATTTTGTGAAATGTCCTGAAGGCAGGATTCTTGTTACTAGCTGTCACATGTAGAAAAGAAAAATCATTAAACTTGCAGAACAGAGGCTAATGCAGAGCCAGCCGCAAAGGTCATGTGCCAAATAAACTTCCATTAAGCATTATTTCTTAGTGTTGTTAGCCAGTGTATTATTAAATGCAACATTAATTAAAGAGTTGCATGTTATAAGTGTGCATTTTGCACAAAGATCAGATTGCATTTTCATGTATTTCATGCCTTATTTCATCTTTTGGGTGCATTCTCTTGGTAATCATTAAAAAAGCAGCCACCAATAATCTAAAACTGATTCCAAATCTGTTTTCTGTGTGTATGTATTTATTGTTTGTATATATCTGTGAGATATATATTCTAGTGTCCCTTTTCTCAAGTAGCTTGAAAAACTTTTACTAGAATTAAAATCATGTAGGAATTGCTTGGCTTTCTTTGCTGCAGTGGTTGAAGTTAGCGACCTCTTCTTACTGTCTAGTAAACGGATCCTAAAAGAACATGTTTTTCAACTTAGAAGGATGTAAATTTAAGCAAAATACTAATTTAGCTTACATTAACTCAGCAGGAAGCAGGGTACAAACTGATTGATTGTCTATGGCAGATCCACTGCTTTTTTAAGTACTGGAGCTTGTTCATTAAATTGTCAGGGTATCATGTGGTTTGGTTAGCCTGCCTAGACTTCTCCTTTTGCATGGAATTTCTTTTCACTTGAATTAATGAATTTTAGATGTAAATTTCCTGTTGTTTGCTTGTATTGAGGTACTTGATAAACATCCACTTCAAGTATCTTTAAAGTGATTTAGTATTGTGCAACTGTAAAATACACTTTTTTAAATGAGGGGTTGGTAAGTTAGAAGACGTAGAAGTTTTTTCTTTTTCAAATACTCTACTGTGTTTTAATATTTTTTTGTATGGAGGATTTCTCTTTCAAAGCAGTTCCATAACAAGATGTCTATTAAGAAGTATGGGCTAAAATGTTTTTCTATCTTTGAGGAGATCTGTAGAAGGAACGCGGCTGTATGAGAGCACCTAGAGTGCATCTTGAGAGTCATTAAACCACTTGAGCAGCTAAGTGAACTGTTCACTGATACCACTGTTTACTTTAGTCTTCAAAAGTGTTCTCCCATTTGTTAATTAAATTACAAAATAAATAAAGGACAAATGATAAATATTCATGCATAGGCCATCAGGAGGTATTGGAATATTGGTCATTTCAAGACAAAACTAGGGGGTTTGGTGTATGGGTGTGTTTGTACAGATGTCTTGAAAAAGTCTGACTGTGATTCATGTTGGGGAATTGCTTAGAAGAAACATTCTTCAAAGAAATACATCTATGAAAGAAATATATGGATCCTTATGAAGACACAGTATTTTGCAATTGCTTTTAAATTACATCTCCTCTGCCTGGCTGTAGTTTGCAGGGCGAAGACAGAGGTACAGCTGTGCTCATGGGAAAACTGGTACTTGTATGTCATTCAATATTTATATCTTCTTGTGATTAGCTTTTTTCTGAAGTCGCTAGCTCCCTTCAGAGGAGCTTGAAAGTGCTAGTCATACTTTTCTAATGGTTTTTCTCCAGGCAGATCATCAGCTACATAACTTAGTAAATGATAAAAAATCTGTTATCTTTCCTGATTAAGACTCTTTGAGTACTTAGTAGAAGCCAAATACAATCTAAAATGTTGTCCTAAGAGGAGAAGAGGGATTAAGTGATCAGGGAAATGTGCACTGGGGTGGGTCTCTAACAGCACCTGCTAGAAGGGTCTCCTTTTCTGCAGGTTTAGTTCTGAAGAGTGTGTATGTGAGTAAACGAAGTGTTGCGTTCTTTCTTGAGCTGACTAATAAATGTATTTACCCTATCAGCTCTGATTTTTAGAACAGAGCCTGTCCAGTTTATCCCTTACAGAAGAGAGGACTGTTTTTGACACTTGAACTGTTGGATGGCTGACGTGCTTTAGTCATGTTGGTATTCTCTCCATGCTGTCCTTGAACTCTTCAGTAGTCTTAGGTGCCTGCCTACCATTTAATTCACCTTCTAGAGAAGCCTAAGATCTTTATAGATTTTAAACCTAGGAACAGGCACTTTCTCTTGTAACTTACTGTTCCAACTAAGATAGATATAATTTATTAGAATTGTACAAAAGAGTCTCTTTATGGTCTGTTCAAGAAAGCAACAAGGATATTAATATTTTAAAACTTACGTTGGGTGATCTGATACGTAAGGTTTTGTTTTGGCTTCAACTTTACAGTTCATGCAGATTTCAGCAAATTTGTCATAGGGCATTTTTTAAACATTCTTTACTATGAGTCATACCTTTGCTTAAGCCTATGATTATTTCATTTTCAAGTATTCAGCAAACTTAATTCAAAAAATGTCTTTTCTTTTTCATTCTTATATGTTTTTCCCTGTTGGTATTAAAGTTACGCATTTGTTTTCCCATACTGCACTTGTATTTGTTCTCCGACTTACAAACTGTCATGCCTTTTTTTTCTGCTTATTTGTTCATTTTGTTTTTTTTTTGGTGGTGGTTTTTTGTTTGTTTGTTTGTTTTGTTTGCTTTTATGTTAGCTGGGATTTCCCATTGTGAAATCAGTTCAGGTTGACAGTGTCAGTAGGGATGATTCCAGCTGAACTAGCCCCAGAGAACTGAGACAGCTCTGAGTCAATACAAATGTAACTGGTGTTGTATTTGCTGTATTAATTTTGTGGTCAAATTAAGTAACATTTTCAATTTTCTTTCTAATTCTATGAATAGATTTTAAAAAAATAAAAATCAAGTAGTTACCCTGCTATCTAGAAGCAGGACTAAATACGAAGAGTTTTGCTTCTGAGGGGCAAGAGATACATTTCAGCATGAATAACCTGGTGTTAATTTTTCCTTTTCCTCTTCTGCTACTCCCTGCCCCACTTCTCTGCATAAATACATGTTGGAAATCAGAAATGTAAATGGCTTTAGTTAGATTTTTAACCCATGGGCAGCGTTAAAATCTTTACAGATTGTGATCAAGTTCAGCGAGGCCATATTAACATTTCCCATGTTGAACTTCAGTGTCAATTAATTGATTCCTCTCATAGAAAGGTAAATATGGGATTAATGAATTTTTAGATAAGCCTTCAGTGGAGTAATCTTCATGTCAGATGGATGTAAACTTCTTTCTGACCTTTGAATTGTATACAAGCTAAGTAGCTACAGCTAACGGGGTGCTGGAGTGGTCTGTTCTAAATGTTTTGCAAACGGTGAGAAGTCCTTGGCATGGTTGCAAATTCTGCATTGTTAATACACTTTTTTTCTTAATATGTTCAGTTGTATAATGATGAAACTGTGGCTTATTTAAAGTCTTAGTAAGTACTTGTGCATAGGTTATTTACTCTGCATAGTTGATGGAAATCAAAGGGAGAGAAAGTCGGACAGATATGAACTCACCTGTACTTAACTGAGTAATTGCACTATATAAATGAAATTGTTGCTGAGAATTTGGTGTGGCATTGTAAAGTATAATGCTATTAAAGAGATCTTTCAGATCTATTTGTTAAGTATATTTTGTGTAGGTTTTCCTACTAACCAAAATTTTCTTGTATTTGTTTAGTGTATGATTTGAGAAAATTAATAGGTTTTGCTGTGGCTCAGCAGGATAAATGTTCTACCTTGTCACAGTTTTGATTTCATTTTGCCATTAAAAATCAGGCTGTAGTGCTTATTTTTGCCTGCAGCAAATTTCAAAGTGTTTATATGTGTAAAGATGTAGGATTTTGAAGGGGATAGTGTGATAAAATTTAGAATTACAGAATATTACGGTACAGTACTTCTAGCTTCTTATTCCAGAGGCATTACTGTATAGTCCAGGCTAACCATTGCAGTTCCATTTTGTAGGGAGTTAAAATTTCTGTAAATTGAAAATGTCTGAAAAGGTTTTGGTGTAATTGATGTTAGACACTGATAATATGTTATGTTTTTTAATATCAAAGTGTTTTTTTTTCTACAGTATTAATGAACTTTTTTTTTTCTCCTTTAGGAGAATATATAAAAAACTGGCGGCCAAGATATTTCCTGCTAAAGACAGATGGCTCTTTCATAGGCTATAAGGAGAAGCCCCAGGATGTGGATCTGCCATATCCACTCAACAACTTTTCAGTGGCAAGTACGTATTTCCAGTATTTATTATTCTCTCGGCATATTGACAAAATATCTGCTACATATTGCTTCATGTGTAGTTCAGAATTTATTGGTAACACTGCAAGTTTGATGCCATGTGTCAGACTATTGCACCGCTAATCTTATGTCCAGCTCTACAAGGTATCTTTACCAGAGCATTGAAGATTTTGCTCTGGGTTGGATTTTGAATATTTTTGAAATAAATCTCATTTTTGTCCATGTGTGTGTCTGAAGTGTCTGTAACTAACAATAACACTTGAGAAATTATTACTGTAAGAAGAAAATTCCTGGAAAGCTTACTTTTATCCTGATCATTGACCTCTTTTCTCTTTTTCAGTGGTATCTCTGAATTCACTTGAAAACTCAAATTAATTAGAAAATTATCTAGACTGTCAAATGACACAAAATCATGCTAAATTATTTTTCTCTTGGATAATCAGGTAATCAGCTCTCCAGCCTGGTTAATCAGTAATTTCAAGCAATCACACAATTTGCATATATTAGCAAAGCTACAAAGTGTGTATCTGTTGGATAAAGTGAAGACATTTTGATTTCTTGTTTTCCAGGAATGTTTCTGGAAGATAAATCTGTAGGGCTTTTTTTGATCTGGCAAAGTGAGATTAGTAGATAAGTGTTTCTGAACAGAAATGAAGGGAATGATGGCGGGGGGGGGTAAAACAGTGCAAAAAATCTTCCTGTATATGAGTTGTGGATATTATAGCTAGAAACTTTCAAAGGAACACTAGAAGATTTACCCAGTTTCTTTCAAGATTGCATTAGTATACTGCAGTATAATAAATGAGGGTGTTTAGTTTTGTAGAGGGGTATACAAAGTAATTTGTGTATTTTATTTGTTAAGAAGATAATCTCATGCTCCAAGCCCGTGTCTTCTCCCACACCTAGAGGAGGAAAACTGCATATTCTGATTGTGACAGAAGTCTTGCAAATGATGTTGAGCATGCAAGTGTTCTAGTAATAATAGATGCTCATTCGCCTTTTTTGCTATTCAGCATAAAAAGCAGTGATATCTTTAGGTTGCTCATATGAGTAAGAATTGACTAGATCATGGGTTGTAACTCCTTAGTTATTGTTCTGATTATCTTAACCTACTAATTTATTGCAGTTGGTGCTTTCCTAGATACTTTTTCTCCAGTGTGAAGCAGAAAGAACTACTGTAGAGCTACAGCAGGCTTTTTTTTTGTCCTGCTTTACCATGTTCTTCGTTGCATATCTTGTGTTTCTTTGCTGCAGCAGCTAGGAAGATGATCCAAATGGTAGTTCTGCTAAGCGAAGAAATGCGTAATTAACAATTAGAGTGTGTTGATACTGGTGTGTGTGTTTGTTTGTTTTGTCACTATTGTTATTTTGATACCCAAAGGTCATTTTATGTAATTCTGGTATCAAAATGCTGCCCCTGAACTTTGCCTAGGTGGAAATTGGAGGATTCATATTGTTTTCCACAGTGACACCATCACCACCATTACCCACCCATTCCTCAACCCAACTGAACAAACGAAAATATCCTTTCTGCAACTAGCAAGTGCCATAGGTCTGATTCTTATGCAATATAAGCTAAAGGAACAGTCATGTAATATTAGTTGAAGAAATACACTTTTGGTAAGCAAGATGAGGTTTTCTGGCAGGAAAAAACAGAAATGATTGCTGATCAGTGCCAGAATAGGGAGATTTTTCACTCATAAAAAGTATCCCATGAAGATAAGTGAAGTACCTATGTAGAATGCACAGGATGAAAAACAAAAACAGTATGATATTGCACTCTAAATTGCAAGGGACTGTAAGTATTTTGTCATATATTTTGTCTGTCTGAAGTTGAGGTCATGGGTAGGGCAAACAAAATCGCTGTGTGAATGAATCGGATCTCATGGGCAGTACCTGGTAAATGTCAAGAACTGGTCACATGGCCTTTGATCCAAGAGTTCCTGAGCTGCTGCAGTAGGTTTGTGGCCACAAGCAGTGCAACATATTTTTCCTGTAATAGTGAAGTACATTTTTCATAAATTACTAGCCAGGCAGATGGAGTGTGAGATCACTGTTAATACCATCTTGATTAGGTTGGCAGGGACTTAAAGATATGTCTTTACAGTCCTATCTTCATGTAATCTTTGTAGCTATCTGTAAAGTGAGAGTGTGGTCTCAGTCTACTTTCTGTTCTCCAAATGATAGACATCTTTGGCTCTTGCTTACAGCTTGTTATTTAAGCAGAAAAGGCCAAGGCTGTGGCATTATTTTTGTAGTACTGATGGAGTGAACACTGGAAAGTTTGCACAGCTCTGCTTTGTTTGATACTTGTTCTGTAGTTTAAAACTTATATCCATCTCTGTCAAACTAAAGTCGCACACCTGAGCATTACTCTCTCCCTGGTCTTGTGTTATCCGCTTACTCCATCATGAATGACAGGAAGGCCAGAGAGAATGAAGTTATTTTAAATACATCTAACAGTGCTTCCAGTGCTATATATATCTTTAAAGATAGAAATATGTCTTTTAAAGGTAAAAGAAGGTGATATAATTATAATGGTGGGAAATTCGTTGCAGAAGCTTAAACTAATTGATACTGGTTTGCAGAGGTAAATTTAGAAATGTGAGCTTTCTTGAACTGGCTGGTTCAAAATCAGTTCAGCTCTTTTCAGGTAGAGACAAGCAGTTGCAAGTAATCAAGCTATTGTAGCTTAAAGAGATGCTCCTGATTGAGTCACAGTAACTGAGTGGGTGTGCATTCCTAGCCCACTTCAACTGCAAAAGAAAATATGTTAATGTAAATTGCTTTTGCTTAGGCATTTATGCAGCCAGAACCAGTTTAAAAATCTGGATTCTGCTGGTATAACTCATATGTATAGGAACAGGCCTGGGGAAAAAAAAAAATAATCTGGCTTTTAAAACTCCATTATGCTTCTTTGGAACAAAACTAGTACTCTAGGTGACAGGAGGTATACATTCAGTGACACCCCCCCAGTCAACATAGTCTCACAACACTGTTTTTGTCTTGTTCGGTGTTGCTTTCTGTCAACCACTTCAGTCTTTGATTATCATCATTATTAGGGGAAGCAGAGTGGGGAAGAATTCTACTTCAGTTCTATTTAAGGAGCATTTGTGGCTTTACTGATAAAAAATACTTCTCACATATGCAGTGAGTATGTAGGTAATCGCATAGCACATTTGGGATGAGGAAGAAGAATTGGCCCTTTGCCTTCATTTTGATCTTTACGTGGGGAATAATTGGGAAGAGCTGTATCCCTTCACAGTAGCCTTTGAGCTTTGGCCAGAAATGATGTCACCTGGAATTTCTTTCCTGTCTTGAAAGATAGTGCTTTCTAAGCACTCTGTGCTACAGCTACCCTTTTTCTTGTCTTTGAAAAGAGAAAACAAATTTTAGTTACTGTGGAAAGGTGACCTTTTATAACCTTTTTTTTCTTCTCTGCAGAAACGCTTATCAATGCACCTTGGCTATTCTCAATTGAGGATTCCAGTCTTAATATTTCAGTGGGCAACAGACAAGGTTTTATTATTTTGAGGATTTAAAAGTCTTCAAAACATGAATATTGAAAGGTTTCAGGGGAGTGATGTTAGGGCTATAAAGAATTCTGAAGGCACTTTCTAAAGAAATGAGTGGGAAAATATATATATATATGTTTTAAGTGAGATTAAATTAGGCATCACAGTACTTCGGCATTAGATAGGGCCTTGTGTACGACTCCATAATTAACTTTTTAATGAAATTTAAATGTAAGGTCCCAGGTTTTTTTAACTGTCACAACACTGGATGACATGAACCCAGAGATAAGCATGTAACTGTAGATACTTACAATTACAGCGTGGATTTCATTCCAAAATAATCGTGGTACAATTGAATAATATTCATTAAACACTGAAAATACTTATGGGGAAAAAATGGCAATCTGTGTAACACACTGCGTATGCAAATGCATCTATGGAAATTTGAACTCTAATGTGTATAACCAATATTACTGTCTGTGTTGGATGGGAGAATGTTTTGGTTTTTTGGAAAACTAGACCAGTAGTTCTCTTTAGGAGACTTTCATACTACTTTATGAGTGATTTCTAGGTGGTACAGTTGATATTTTGCCATTTGACTTCGAAGTTTGGATGCAGTTATTGTCTTGGGTCATGAATGAAAATCAGTTCCTTGGTCTCATCATTCCATTTTAATGGGCAATGCTTTCTTAGACACCAATATAGCATACTGTAATTTCCAGTTATCTCTAAATAGGGCCTGGTATGAGCAAGGCAGGTCGAAGTTTATAGTCAGGTCTGAGAGATTTTATGCTGATGTGATACACTCAGTTGCATAATAAACTTGGGGTGTTTGCATGAAAGACAGAGAAGGATGTATGATTTTTCTGTGAAAACGAACTAAACCCCATACAAGCCCCAACAATAAAGTGCAGAAATCTATTTTCATTCTCTTGCTTTGCATGTGGGGACAAATGGCAAACTAGTTGTAATGACAAGAAGACTTCATTTAGAGTATTGTAAATAAAAGACTTGCCATCATGATGAAGCATTAAGGATCATCTTTTTCAGCTTCAAGGAATATAATCATTTTTTCGTGTTTGTTATATATATTGTTATCAGTCATATATGTTACTGTATCATTGTAGCATGTATTTGTCATGAGCCAAGCCCCCCAGAAGTGGGATTTCTACCCGTACAGAACAGAAAGTCAGTCCCTGCTCCAAAACACTAAAATTCCAAATATAAAGCAAGGGACAGCAGATGGATGCAAACAGATGGGGGGAGTATGAGAAAACAATGAGACAGTATTAGCCTGTAGTACAGGCAGTGGTCTCAGCACATCAACAACTAATCCATTGTCAAGGTTAGGTTTTTACTCTCTTCTCCCTTCTTTTCTCTCTCCTTCCTTCCCTCCCTCCCTTTTTTTAATACATGCTGAAGGTGGGTTTTAAGTAGAATTTAAAAGAGAACCAGTATGGCAAATAGAAATTAA